TTTGTATGTCGTCTTTCCAGTTTTTTTATCTTCTCCATTTTAATATTGTGTCATTTCTATTTTCTCTTAGCTTGGTTGCCCAATAATTCATTGGGAAATCCTTATAAACCAGTTTGATGTCTGCATAGAATACGGCCGCATTACACCATTCCACTAATCTTACCCTGGGCCAGGTCACCATCCCTTTCTCAGTTGCTTCATAGACTTCCTAAGTGCTCATCTTTCATCTGCTCTAATTCCTTTCGTCCTCCACACATATCAGCCACAGTGAACTCAAGTGTGTCAAACAATTGCTTCACTACACACCACCTGTGTTAGTTGGCTTTCTGTTGGTGTAATAAACACTATCTAATAGTAATTTAGGGAGCAAAGGGATTATTTTATCATCTTGTTCACATTATAGCTGTCATCATCAGTGGAAGCCAAGGCAGGACATGTAGGCAGGAGGTGGAAGCAGAAATGCTGATTGGCTTCATCGGATTTTCATGCAGCCCAGGACCGCCTGCCTAGGGATGGTGCTTCCTATTATTTGTCCATGTGACCTATTTGACTCCAACTCTTGCCCACGTGACCCATCTGTCTCCATCATACTGGCCTTGTTGTTTTTCCTAATTCTTGTGAGACATGACTTTTTTTTTACCTTTGTACTTTTATTCAGTGTTCTTTATCCACCCCACAGAACAATGTCTGGAATGTAATAGGCATTAAGAAGACATTCAGTGTACTAAAAATATTGAATTAATAGAGAATCCATTCATTAGATGACTAATTTGCTAGATCATGGTGATATAAAGGAGCCTCCTCTTTCATTTGCTTGACTGACAAGGTTAATTCCCACTGAATGTTCAAGTGCTGGAGCAGGGATGAAGGTGGAATGCAAGATGGAATGAAGGACATGAATTGAAACACACTTAGAATGGAGACTTAAATAAGACCCTAGTCAGGAAAGGCCTTATCCGCCGGAACAGATGAAATAGATGAAGGAAGCAGACTTAGCAGTGGAGAACCAGATCGTAACATTTTTAAGCAGATAATAATGCACCTTCTGTCAGAGACTGTCCATTGGCAACCCTAGAGTCAGCAACATTGGATGAGATTTTATTATCAATGAGGAAAAGAGATAAGAGCAAGTTAGAACAAAGGTCAGAGAAAGGTAACAGGAAGCATCACCGGGCTAGGCTATCTCATTGCTACATTATGGCTGCATGTGGCTATAAGAATTTGAAAGGGCAAACAAGCTTGCAAGCTGTGGTCTGCTGTACCACCTGGCATCTGTATTGTGTGGAGTTTAAGAACAGCTGCCGCTAAGCATGGACAGATTAAATTTGTGAAAATGCGTTGCATAAAACACCATCATCCCAAAGAACTGACTGCAGGCACATAGGAAAGTCTGAGGTTTTACATGCAGTACAGCTGTACTTAGTGTGCTCAGCCATTCATTCCCCACAAGTGAAGTGGCAGGTACTCTAGGGAATGGGAAGGAATACTGGACTGATGAAAATCTCTGGCCTAATGGAGAGTCTATTCCAGTGAGGAGAAGTCAAAATGAACAGATGTCTACATTAGTGTCTCAGGCGATAATTGCTATGGAGAAAAAGAAGAGAGATACTTTAGGAAAAGCCAAAAGAGGAATGAAGTTTGTAAGTAGGTCAAGTGGGGAGGGAATGCCAGGTGAAACTGTGATGCTGTGATGCAGATTTGAAGGAAGTAAGGAATTAAGTCTGGGAGCCATCTCCACTAGGGAACAAAAAGAAAATCCCCCCCCCATACAGAGTTTCCATCTAAGATATGCTACTCTTTTGTGGTCACCCTTTAACAGGGAACAATACGTTACTATTTGGTTAGTCTCAGAAGAGCTGACCTGATTCCCCTCAGACAGATCCAGGTTAGGAGAGCTTCTCTCAGATAGGGTCAAGCAAACCTCACAGATTTAAGCTGAATCATCCCTTCCCTGGAGGAAGACACCAGGAAGTATCTCAAGCACAGCTGACATATTGCAGTTCAAGAGGAGCCAATGCCAACTCGGGATTCATTTGGATATTCTCACTTTAAAATAAAACCAGTATGTTGGGCTGAATGATTGCTCAGTGGTTAATAATATTATTACTCTTCCAGAGGACCTGAGCTCAATTCACAGAACCCTATTAGGGTGCTCACAACCTTCTGTAATTCCAGCTCCAGGAGATCTGAAGTCTCTAAACTCCATGGGCACCCACACACACTAGCCATACATTCACACAAACACACACTTCTACTTATGACTTGAATAAAACCATTTTTAAATATATTATAGGTTGACGTTGGGTGGAGGGATGGATGGGTCAGCAGGTAAGATCGTTTGCTTCTCTTGCAGAAGACCTGGCTTCATTTCCTAGCACCATAGTCAGATAACTCCTATTCCAAGGGGACCTGATGCCATCTTCTTGCCTCCTTGGACACTAAACACACATGGCATACAGACATACATACAGGTAAAACATGTACACATAAAATGTGAATAAATAAATCTCTTAAAATAGTATGTTGAGGAAATATTTGTGCTGACTACTGGTTATACTGTTAATCACAATAGCCATAGCGATCTAGGTATACAAAAATCAGGAAAAAAGTATATACATGACACTCAGCCTTTAAAAAGAGGAAAGATGTTATTCAAATCAGGATGAGTAAGCTGGGAGGTTACATCACATGACTAACGCAGGCACCACGGGAAGAATACTGTGACCACCATGAGCCCTGTGTGACCTGTATGAAAGTTGTGCTCATAGCAACAGAAAGTGAAATTAAAAGCAAGCAGATGTTAGTCAAAGAAAATAGGTTACATTTTTCTTGGGTAGATGCAGTATGTATAAACAATGTAATTTTAAGCAGAATAGAAAAATTTGAATGTTAAAACGCAACTCTTTTATACAGCTAAATTTGTGTCCCAGGCCTTGATATTCCAGGTAATCATGACAAAAGAAGAGGGAGAAGGCACCTGTAAATAGAGAAAAGAGAAAACAACCCTCTTTACTTCCCTGGGCAGGACTGCACAGCAGCATAGGCACTGGGGTGCTCTCAGGACACTGTAACATTCCAGTGGCTACCTCTGCTTTTTGGCATATAATCCCCTGTAAGCAACAGATGCTGGCATATTCTGTCACCTAAAACACTCCAAACCTGTAAATTCATGGTCATTTGGTTGTATTTGCTTTTGTAACATCCAGTTGCATAGTCATTGGGAAGACCATACTAGTACCAGTACAAATAACAGATATGTTTATATATGGAAACCTGTTGGGGAATACTACACAAATCCCATAAACAAATAGGAAGCCAGTAGTCCTTTAACTGGAAAATATTTAAACTTCATATGTCACTAATAAAAATGTTATGTGTGCAAATAACTGTAAAATGCCAGACAAATGCAAGTGTGTCATTAATGGTGGAAGGCAGTCCTTTGGTACTGTCAATCTTTCTTTAAACTCAACTCTAGATGAGTTTTCCAACTACAGGAGCTCAAGAGGACCAAAACCTCTAACATTAAACTACAGCGCCCTCTAGCCTGAGAAGGAGGTGAGGCAGCTGACGAGTAGCTTGAAGAAGCTCCGTTGCAGGTGGATCTCCAGCCTCTGGAAGGGGTGGCCATTCACTGCACTTTGGATACTTTCCATCTGTCCTCTGTGTTGGCCTGCCAAATCGTTTTTATTTTTAATCACAAAGAGTTGTGACATTGTAAATTTGATACTTAAGCTTTCCCTTTCCAAGGCGTTTAAGTGAGTGCTATTTCTACAGGAGCAGGACTAGCTGGGCAGTGTGCTATTCACCTGTGTGTGATCCCAGAACTCTGAATGCTACATGGGACAGCACAAGTTCAAGGCCATCCCAGGCTACAGAGCAATACCTTATCTCAAACAACAAACTGCACAAAGAATGGGGAGGGGGAAGGGAGGAGCAGAAAGGGGGGAGGAAGACTAGATTTCTTTAAGCAACTCCATGGATCTGATTCATTATGATTGCCTGTTTACCCAGTTCTTTACACTCTGAAGTGAAAGCACTCCTCTCCTCTCCGGGAGGGGAAACAAAGGTTAAGCTTGTATGAGACTGCATAGAAAGATGTGATGTCGCTATGAGGCCCTCTGCCCCCTAGGTTCAATGTGCAGAATAATTGCCAGATGCAGAATTATGAAAGGAAACATCGTTGAATCTTTTAACATTAGACTATGGGGTTCTTTGCTAATATGGTTTAGAAAAGCTCAGATCTCTCTCTCTCTCTCTCCCTCTCTCTCTCTCTCTCTTTCTCTCTCTCTCTCTCACAGACACACACACACACACACACAAATGCTCCAGAGGCTGCATTATTATTTTTTTAATCTCTACTGCTTCCGTTCCATAGCTTTTACAGACGTTTTCAAGTCAAAGACTCCAGTGGATAAACGAGGTCCCTCAGTGGGAAAAGAGAGCTTGCTAGTGGTTTTGTTTCTCACCGTGAGCATTTGTGCATTAATCACCCAGCTTTGAGGGATTTCTTTCTAACATTCTTTTCTGTGTACAATAAACACTGCAATTCATTCCACCCTTGGAGGAGACAGAGATGTTGTCAGGCTGTGCCTTTCTTAGCTGTTCATCTCAAATTTAGTGTGTGGATTCAATATTGGTGATGAGGCTTAAATTATGACCCAATCGTGATCGGGTTTTCATCATAACTTCTCTCCCTTTGGAGGTCAAAGATCATTTCCACCCCCAATGTTCTGTCCGTTATCTGCTAAGACAGGGGCACAATCGGTGTGCCACAGTAGGAGGGGACTTTTATAACATATTTCTACCTAAACCAGCAAAGAAGATATAAAAAATCACTCATCATTAGATTTTCTGTGATGGGATGATACTCCCTCAGTAAGCAGACTTGCATTCCCCCTCAAGCTGAGAACCCAAAGCATGCTTTCTCAACATCCACTCAAGCTTAATTTTGATGAGAGGGACAGCACTCTCAGGAGGGGCGAGATAAAAGTGTGTCTAACTACCCGATCATGGCAGAATTTGCCTGAGCCAGGTTCCCACCCAGCATCTGGGGTGAATTTACCCTGCAAGGCTCCGGATGCTCGCCAGACCCTTCGCTTTAAACCAGCCTCCGTGCCCCTCACTCCGCCCACGCCCAGGTCTCTGGACTGGTTCAAGCTTCCCAGAGCCTTGGTTGGTCCTAGCAGGCCATCAACAGATCACCTCCTGGGATGGTTGAGAGCCCGGCTGGGATGCTGTGGGGTGACGGTGGGGGTTGTGTTTGTAGTACTCCCGGGAAGTCCTGATGTCACGGGAGCGGCAAGGACATCGCAAGGAGGAGTCGTGTTACAGTAAGGATGGGCAGTGGCGCGCGCGGCCGGAGCGCACGCTCCAGCCGCGGGGAATCGTAGCCTGGAAGGCAGGAGCCTGCCCCGCGCTGCTCGCCCAGCCCGCCCGGGAGGAGGCACGCTCCACGCTGCTGCTCGCCACGCTGGAAACATCGACAGTGACCATAGCATGCCACGGCTCTGCTCGGCGTTCCAGCCCAGGGTGCGAGCGGAGGCTGAAGACGCCACGGTGGGCTTCCAGCTGGTTGATTAATGAGAAAAATAATGTATTTTGGTGAGTGTTCTCTTTGATGATGCAATTCTGGGGGGTGCCTGGCAGTTCTCCATCCTGTAAGTAAACGATTTTTAAAAATATTTAAGCTGCTAGAATATATTGCTCGAAACCTACCTTCAGTGGGCAACTGGCGGACCCGCTACAGCGGCTTTAAAAGCTTCCTTTGTGCCCCCTTTGGGGTTGGTAATCAACTGTGCACGGATGTATGCTGGAAAAGAAGAGGTGAGGGTGGGGTGGATAAACTTTTGCTTTGACTTGGGGCCACGAAGTTGGCTGATTTAGCTGGGTGTATGAGACGTGGTGCAGCGTGGGAAGTGGTGGGCTAACTTAATGGAATGTGAGACAAAGTTCCCACACGGCTGATGCCCTGCGAGCTTAGTCAACATGAACGTACGCCTCAAGCATTGGGATTTTCCCTAGTTGAGAGGCAGGAAAGGAAAAACATTCATTGACCAGCGAGCAGTCCTTCCCAGCCTGGTGCTCCTTCAGGCTAGAAGAGACTAGCAACAAATGCTTATTTCTTTAAACCTTCCGAGGTCACGGGGCTGTTAAATATGTGTGCGGTTTAGTTTGGGGCTGCGGTGGAATGCTCCCCAAGGTTTTCAGCTGAGCTGCATGCATTTGCAGAAAGCATGTGGAGGCTCAGATGTGGGCTCTGGGCTGAGCACTGTGAGCAGGCTGGGAGCTGAGTTGTATGTACCTTTGCACTGCAACGCCGCAGCTTACATCTGAGAGGAGGCAGAGCCCTTCACTTCTGAGGAAGAAACCAAGGAGTAAGACAGAGGAGCCTTTCCTCCTCCCAGGCGTTATGCTTTCCTTCTGTAAGTCCCAGCTGGTGTCATCATTTAACAGCATCTATCTGATGTTAAAAGGTTTGTGGGAGCAACTGGAGAGGGGCTGGGGGTGCTATTGTACACTGCAGACTCAATGGGTGATTTGGGGGTTTGCTTTAAATATGAAATCAGCAATCTTCCATCAAGTTATATTTAAATGTGTGTGGATGGGGAGCTATTAGTTTGGTGGGCATGTATTTCCCTGTGTGCTATTTGCTTTGTCTGATTTTTCGGAGCCTTTTAAAAGATTCGAGAAAGTGTGGAAGCATCCCGAGTTGCAAAAGCTTAATGCCTCTTGCTGTCTTGACAGTAGCTTTGATTTCCCTATAATTTGTGTGACATTACAAAAGAAATCTTAAAATAATCAGAGTTGATTGGAAAGAAAGGATCCTTATTCCACAGTCCAATTCAAGCAGAATCCAGACTTAAGTAGCACTTTTCCCGTGGGTAGCGCTGCAAGGGACACGCTTGTTTATTAGTAATGAACGGAGCATGATTCATCTTGTGTGTGATTTTTGACAAATGGGGAAACTTGTAGATAATGTGTCTTTTGAATACAATTACATTTCAGCTTCTAAAAAGAGATTAAGGAATAGCAGAGACTATTATTTAAGTTTAGTTTGGGAGTACTATAAAATGCCTGATGGGATTTTGAGGGACGACTAATCGGAGAAATAGGAAAAGTCTCAAAGTCGGGGTCAGAGGCTGCCCACACCTTGCTGATCTGAGCTGTGGGTGACTGAAGGGATGCTCACAGAGCCAGCTCAGGTTGTTAACTGTGTGTTAACCTAGTTGCTTTGCAAAGTGGGCAGTTCTGCAGGCAATTAGTTTCCTTGTATAATGTAAGCTTTTAATAGTATGAATTGAAATGTGATGTCCCAGTTACTTCAGCTGCAAGTCCCCATGCTAAGGCTACAGTTGCCCTCAGGGGTGTGAGCCCAGGTCTGCTTCACCGTCATCCTCAGCATTATTCCAGTGTGAGAAATGTTTTCCATTCTTGTAGGAAGTAATGTGTGTATATTAAGAAGGTTGGGCTTTGGCAGTCCCTCACTGAAGCTGCTAGACATCCAGAACCCGTGGAGCCAAGCCGCATCTAAGAAAGTCACCTGGCATTGGGGCTAGAGCTAGTAAATTGATAAACAAACAAACAGAATAACCTGGGCATCCTCCAATGCCGAAGCATGCTCATGTGTGGGAGTACACCTGCACGTGTGTATATGTTTATGTGTGCATAAGCCTGAAATATTTCTATTTTAGGTAGTTTTTTTAAAGAGTACTTTTACTTGCAAATTTATTGATGTTTCATTACTTCCTTCATTTTTGAAGAGGCAAAAGGAACCCTTCATGCTTGGGATTTTCTGGTGATTTGTAGCAGTGTGATAGTCTTTTATTTGTGTACACAGTAGGAGTGACGAAGAGCATGGCAATGCTATGTGAAGAGGTGAATTGGAAGACAAGCGGGTTATTCTCTTCTCACACCCTATTGTTGCAAGATGTTGTCCCACTTCAAATGCAGCTGAAGACTCCTTTCCTGATGAGGGTGGCTGGGTCTACCTGCTTAAAGTTTTGTCCCCTTGGGGCACTAAGGAACTGGACCTGTGAAAGGTCAGTTAGAGTGAGTTGTATGTTTATACAAATGGGTGAGCTGTGTTTGATTTCCAATTCTCCTGCCACCCCTTTGGTTTTTTGAAACAGGGTGTCTGTGTCCTGGAACTTGCTCTATAGACCAAGTTGGCCTTGAACTTAGAGATCTGCCTACCTCTGCCTCCAGATTTCCAACTCTAACCATTAGATCCTATCTGAATGTGTTCTCTCACATCTATAGAACTGCTGGACCCTTTTAATGACTTGGACCCCACTTTCATGTCCTATTGAGATTTTGCTGTGGGGATTTCTGTAATTGTGTGCTCTTCTTATTTAGTGATTTCAGTTTACTGTTAGGTCGCTGTGGGTGCTCCTGTCACTCTATCGATTTTACATGCATTGCTTGCAGTTAAATGTGTGGTTCACAAAGGAGAAAAAGGGAAAATCCCAGTAACTCCGTCAGTGGAAAGCACTGAAAAAGGAAAAGAGCAAAGACTATGAAATTAACCTTTCTGCCCCCATAAAGATTTTACAAAGTTAAAAATTGCATGTGCCATGGATTAATAGCCATTAATAATTTATTCAGTACTGAAAGCCAGGCACCTCGGAGACTTCTCCCCAGACTCAGGAAGAGAGGCTGTGGGTGGTTGTCAGTACAAGAGGCAGGGCTGCCAGGTCACAGTGGGGCTGGGGAGTGTGCTGCTATGAAGGGCAGATTGCTTGCTTGAATGCACCACCGCAGTCGCCCAGAGCCCAGCAGAAGGTTATAGTAAGTCACTGTCTCTAGCTCCGGGCACCATATGTCTGAGTCATATCTCTTTGCCACCCCAAATGTTTCTTTCTTTCTGGAGGGTCAGCCATCATTGACGGTGGGCATGCTGACCATACACACTGACCTAAGTTGGCCACAAAGCTGCCATGCCCTGTCCTTAGATGTCAAGAGAGCAATTGTACCCAGGATTGTTTTTTGCATGGCCCCAAATCAGTGCTTCCAGACCTGAGTCGCCCAAATGGAGGCTATGGCAATCGGGCCATCTAAAAGTGTTTGGGCATTACACCTTGATAATACTCCTAAAAAAGAAAATGATACACCTGAACAAATAGGCAGAACTGAGAGACGAATGTTAGCACTCACTGCAAATGTTCCTATTAATAGTATAATAATTAAACCCAGAGAAAAGGGCAAGCAAATTTTAGAAAGTGTTACTGAGCTGTTCAAGTTCAGCTTGATGTTAATTGTGTCCTTCAAAATGACTAAGGAAAGGAAGAAAATGCTTAATGACAGGCCTGTCATATGCAGAAATGCTTCATCGAGGAAGCTTTTAACACAAGCAGTTGGAAAATGTCTAAAGAAGATCCTTATCCCATCCTTCTAATTGATGCACATGTTTAGCCTTCAAAAGGCAGTTTTCCCTCAGATATTTAGAACAGCTCACCCCAATGTTTGCACCGTGGGCAGCGGTTTAACTATGACATTTCACCTCTGAGACAGAGTGTTGCAAACACTGTTTTGCAGCAAGGTAGAGATGAGAATAAAACAGTAGGCAGCAGACAGAAATTTCCCTCTTTTTCTGAACACCTAACTCCTTTTCATTTGCAGTAACCATCCATTATGAGAAACGAGGTTTGGGAGCATCTTTCCATTCCCTCGGGAGGTATTTCTCTATCCCCTGAATATAAGGACAGAGAAAAGTTTGGGAAGTGGTACATCCAAGTTTCTCTCTTCAAATGATGAGTTCATGCCATTGTGTCTCATTACAAATGGGTCACAATGACACACCATGCAACAATAGCAACCAGCAACAGAGACTGAGAAAAAAAAACCATGTTGTCAGGAAGAGTCCTGGAAAGGAACCTGAACCAAAGGGACCTTCAAACACACTCTACCTAAAGTTGATTTTCCTCTGAATTCACTCGATGTTCTCATTTTAAAAAGCCAACTATGGTCATTGTAACAGTAACACAGATTCTTCAGCCCATCCTTACATCTTGTGCCGCTTTCCCCTGCCTTTTTCTCTTCCTTCAAGGCCCTTCTTAGTTGCTATAATTATATGGAAATGAGATGAGTTTATTTAAGGGATAAGTCCCAAAATTCATGAGATAATGAAGACTTACAAAGTTACCCTTTTGTGGGTGGCAAATTGTTCTGAAAAAACAAATGGAAAATTTAAATTAGTGGTTTGTGATTTCCTTTTCAGAAGAAGGGGCTGCAGCTGCTTTTGACTGAGATCTCCCATTATAATACAAGGTGTGTGTACACACACACACACACACACACGTCTTTTTATGTAGGTAGCCCAATATGTTTCTTTATCCACAGCTTTTGTATATTCCTGAGTCTTTTTGCATCATTTGAATGATTACACTTAATTGCTGATTAATATGGTAGATTGAACATACATTTTTTTAGCTTAGCTGCTTTTTAACTTGAGCAGTTATTCTAGGTATTAAAAATCAAATCATGAAGATAATTGTCAAGGATTCTCCTTCTTAAGAAGCCAAGATGCTTGTATAAGCAAAAATTCATTTCTTCTTGACCTTGAGAAGGTGATGTTCCTATTTGTGGTACACTGTGAAAAAATG